TACAGAATTAAATTAAGTTAAAGTACCTAGTTGTGTTTCATTTTCAAGCGAATTTTAGAACCAAAATTTGCTTGAAAATGAAACAGAACTAGGAACGGGCACGATGACTTGTGGCTTTGCGCTAGTACAGCTCTCGACGACCCCCAAGGGTTTCCGTCTACCCAGTTTCATTCACAAGGCTTGGGTCAACCCGTGGCATGGATTTCAGGTACTTTCTAAAGATGCCGTACCCTAGGATTGACCTCGATCCATTCCGATAACATCAGGAAGTCTCCTTCCTGACAAATCGATCATGGTGAGATTCGAACCCGGGTCTCATATATATATATATATATATATATATATATATATATATATATATATATATATATATATATAATAGTAATAATAATAATAAGTGGACACTGAGCTCAATGCCGAACGGCGACAGACTGTTTCAGGCAAAAAATATTGTGCGGTATTTGACGATGCGGATCGTTAAGCATCCTTAAATGTATTAAAAAACACACACACACCACACTTATGTCACAAAACTCTTGGCCTATGCCATAACACTCACTACTTCTACGAAACTCGCCATTTATCTCTACCTATCCTGATGATGACTTAAGTAAGTCGAAATAGTGAACCATATTTATTGTACTTTTCTTCTGAAATGAACTGAACAATTTCATCCTTGTCTGAGGAGGATTATTCGCAATTTGGATAAGTCGATTAATAAAATTAATGGGCACAAAATGTCTGCTGTCTTTCATAATGTTTTCCTTAAAGAACATATACACACACACACACACACACACACACACACACAGTTTTATATATATATATATATTAAGAAATGGACAAAGACCGACAATTTATTTATTAAAGACATTTTTATGTTTAACGTTCTTTTTATAGATACAAGTATTTAAGTAAATGCTCTGTTTATAATAAACAGTATTAAATAACATTCAGGCCGGTAAATGTTATTTAATACTGTTTATTATAAACAAACATTACTTAAATACTTGTATCTATAAAAAGAACGTTAAACATAAAATGTCTTTAAAAAATATATATATATATATATATATATATATATATATATATATATATATATGGGATAAAGTGCTCAATATCAGAGATAGAGCGTATGTTGATTCTCCTTCAGTTCCTTTTACACGAACGCTGCTATTCGCCAAGGCTCAATCCTGGCTCCTACACTGTTTCTGATCTTCATCAACGATCTTCCTGATGTTATCAACTCCCAAGTTGACATCTACGCTGACGACACTACTATTTACCCCTGCCTTAATAGTAGATCCGACATCGTTGACAAAACTAACCTGGCCGTAGGCCTGAAGAAGGACCTTCAATCTGTGGTTGACTGGGACAGGAAATGGCTTGTAAACTGTAATGCCTCGAAAACGAAGCTGCTTCCAGTTGCCCAACAAATAGAAATCTCCCTGCCTCCCATCGGGATGGCTGATGCCCAGCTACATAAGAGCACCTCTCTGCTTAGCCTTACGCTGACCACTGACCTGAAGTAGAACAACTACATTAAATCTCTAGTTTCATCTACTGCAAAGAAAGTTGGTTCTCTGTGTCGCGCCAGAAGGTTCTTCTCATCGGAGTCCATTGCTTAAATCTACAAATCAACCATTCGTTCTTGAATGGAACTCTGCCGCCATATATGGTCTGGTGCTCCCGCTGTTCATCTCGAGGTCCAAGACAAAATCCAGAGACGGATATGCAACATAGTTGGTCCTGATCTGGCATCCCATCTGCAGTCGCTATCTCAGAGACATGCTGTGGCTTCCCTCTGTCTTTTCTAAAAGTACTTTCATGGCAACTGCTCCGACAAGCTACTTTCACTGTTTCCCAAACTGCATGAATTTAAGCGTGCTACTAGGTTGGCATCTCGGTCCCACCCTTTCACTGTCAAAACGGCTAAATGTAGCCGTCTCTTCTACTCCAACAGCTTCTTATCTCGCACCTCTCGTCAGTGGAACTCCCTTCCTATCACTTGCTTTTCTGATAGCGATGATCTTCAAATATTCAAATATAATGTCAATCGACATTTTCTGATGCCTTGACTTTGATCCCTGTCCTTCTCTTTTTCCTTTTCCCAAACTTTCCTTTTTACTCTTACTCTCACTCTCTTGCGTACTAGTGGCACTCCTGCCTTGCTTGGGGTGATTTGCTTAAAAAAGTCAAGGGTCCATTGTTATCTATACCCCCTTATCTGCAATTCCTACTAACTCCTCTTTCATTTCTGTTAAATATCTCAGTCATCGTTACCATTTAATAGTAACCCTCTACCTTAAGTAGGTCTCGAGCCTTGTATTGGGAGCAGTTACACTATTTACATTATTCGGACTATTGTCCTCATCTTTGTCGCCATGTTTATCACAACGTTTTGGCCGGTGTACGCTCCGGCCTTCTTCAGTTGGAATGTCGGACTGAACCCTTTATTTCGCTCACTAGGATAGACTGTTCTAGCTCCACGTGCCATGTCTAATGGATGTCAGTTATCTCCTGTTAATTCCCCTCTGAAAGTTCTCCACTGCCTTAACCAGGTATTGAACTCACACTCTTTGGGTTCTGTCACTGAATCTAACTAACGCCTTTATCCACTGTGCTATGTGTCCAAGGGTTAATTTTAGTATATAAAAAAGGCTGCTACACTTATTGACTGAATTCTGATCTGAGATATTCCTTGTATAGAATTCGATGTAGTTAATGGAGAAGGCTTCTGTTGTGTCGTAAATAGGAAAAGGTTGACACACATATAGAAAATAAGTAGTTTATTCCGAAGAATAATATGGTATACGGTTGAGAACAAAAACAGTTAATCGTTAACTTCTCGGGGTTTCCCTGTGACCTCCCCACAAGGCGGGATGTGGTCCAAGGCAACGTGGGGCTTTCCGAACGCGTACGCTCAGGGAAAAATTCCCGTAGACCCCGCATACACGGGGTCGGGTGGCCGTCTACCTTACCAGATGAAACATCGGCCTTCCGCAGAGAGTCGTTTGGGCTCCTCTCCGCCCGAATGCAGAGAGTCGACAAGCTGAGTAACGATTAATCGTTAACTTCTTGGTGTTTCCCCGAGGCTTCCCCATAAGGCAGGATGTAGCACAAGACCGGTTTTTAACGTGGGGCTTTCCGGCAAAAATTCCTCGTAGACACTACATCCACGGGGTCGGGTGGCTGTATACCACCTTAGACAAGCAAAGTTAACTGTAATCGTTAACTTTGGTGTTTACCCTAGATCTACGCACAAGGCGGGATGTCGTACAAGGCCGTTTTTTCCGTGGGGCGTTCCTAGCCCGTAGGCTCGGGAAAAATTGCCCTAGACTCCGTATACACGACGACGCGTAGCTGTCTACCTCCCCAGACGAGACTCTGCCCTTCGACATAGCCTCGTCTCTGTCCGGAAGCAGAGAGTCGACAAGCTAAGTTAACTGCAATCGTGAACTCCTTTCCCTCTTTAAGAGGGAGTACTGTTTAAATAGTCTTAGACCAGTCCATCTTGTGGGGGTGTTCAGCTACTCCACAACACCGTCCTTTGATATCATTGACTAGGAAGGACAGTATGTTCAAAAATGAACTTATCGGTGTGCTTACGTAGACAAGCTTAGTGATCTTTCAGATTTTACAAATAGATGACGAAAACAGATTTGAAAGTGAGGTTGTCTAAACAGATTTGAAAGTGAGGTTGTCTAAACAGATTTGAAAGTGAGGTTGTCTAAACCTGCTAGAGCATGATGGAAACGAGCCTATTACACAGATTCCCAAACAGCAAATAGGCTCGGAATTTTTAACAAGTGCACACACATGTACGAACGCGTGCACTAAGCAGATGTTTAACAGTAAAAAGTAACGCTTTTACTGGATGAGCCACTACCTTGCATTCACTGTACACTTGGGTATCACAGATTTTGCAAGGACAGAATATGTCATGGAATGTTGTGAGGTGGGCATTTCCGTGGCGGGAAAGACCGTGCAGTGCTTGAAACTACCAGAGTCCCAGAAATAATCCCGTTAGTGCCTGGCAAAGAATGAACGCAGTTTACACCCTTTTTCATGTGCGCGATGCGTGTCTGGAGTGAGCGTGCATCAGCGCTGTCACTAGACGATAAACTTCCTCTATAAATGCGTGACGTCAGGGAAGCGGGGTGGGCAAGTATTTAAAAGAAAGCGGGAAAGAGTGATGGCGGCAGGAAGAACGGGAAAGAAAGAAAGAAAGAAAGAAAGAAAGAAAGAAAGAAAGAAAGAAAGATAATAGAGTGAAAGATAATGAGAAATAAAAAATAAAAAGAAATAAAGGAAAAGAGAGTGAAGGACAATAACAAAGAAAGAAAGAAAGAAAGAAAGAAAGACAGAAAGACAGAAAGAAAGTGAAACGTAATAAGAAAGAAAGAAAGAAAGAAAGACAGAAAGAAAGACAGAAAGAAAGTGAAACGTAATAAGAAAGAAAGAAAGAAAGACAGAAAGACAGAAAGAAAGACAGAAAGAAAGTGAAACGTAATAAGAAAGAAAGAAAGAAAGAAAGAAAGGAGGAAAGAAAAAAGAAAAGAGAGAGTGAAAGTCAATAAGAAAGAAATAAAGAAAAAAAAGAGAGTGAAAGGCAATAAGAAAGAAAGAAAAAAGAAAGAAAGAAAGAAAGAAAGAAAGAAAGAAAGAAACATTGATAGTTTGATAGTACCAGTTCCCGCCTCCAAAGTTAAGTAGTATCGAGCTTCATCAGTATTGAATGGGCAACCGTTTAGGAACATCAGGTATTGCAAGATATTTGTGACCTTGTGCCAGACTAAGCAAATCTTAGTAAATAAAAACAGCAAGAAAAGTAGAAAGAAAAAAAGAAGAAAACTAAGCAAAAGAAAAAAGATAGAAGCAAGGAGAAAGAAAAGAGAACGTGAGAAAAAGACACAAATTAGAGAGGGAAGGAAGTAAAGAGAGCGAAGGAAGGAAAGAGAGAGAAGAACAGAGAGAGAGAGAGAAGTAAGAAGAGAGAATTAAGGAAATAGAGACGGAAAGAAAGAAAGCGAAAAAAGGAAAGAGAGAAAAGGAAAGAAATAGAGCGAAGGAAAGGGAAGAGAGAGAAGGAAGGAAAGAAAGCGAAGGAAGGAAAGGGAGCAAATGGAGGAAAGAGAGAGAAGGAAAGAGAGAGAGAAAGAAAAAGAGCAAAGGAATAAAAGGGAGCAAAGGGAGGAAAGAGAGAGAAGGAAAGAAAGAGAGAAAGAAAAAGAGCAAAGGAATAAAAGGGAGCAAAGGGAGGAAAGAGAGAGAAGGAAAGAAAGAGTGAAAGAAAAAGAGCAAAGGAGGGAGAGAGAGAAGGAGAGTAACGAATGAATAAAAGCGAGAAAGAGAAAAGTCAGGTAAATGAACTTTTAAAAAAGCGAGGGAAAGGGAGAAAAAAAAGAAATAATGTAAAACGGGAAAAGAGGAAGAAAAAGGTGAGAGAGGGGAGGAAACAGAGACGAAAATAATGAAAGCTTGAGAGAGGAAGAAAGAAAGATAAGCAGAAAGAGAGGAGAAAGAAAGAAAGAAACAAAACAAAACAACAACAGATCGTAGAGAGCCGTGCGGTTGGCAGGACAAGAATAAAAGAATGAAAAAAAAAATCAGAGCGTAAAGTTTTTGATTTAAGTCCCTCTTCCTTCGCCCCACTTGATTTCGCTTTCCTTCCTCTTTCTTACCTCTACTACTACAACTACTACTACTATTACTACTACTACTACAGAGATTTGTCCTTCAAGTCTCCTCCCCTTCCTACAAATGATTCTCCTCTGCCCACCACACCGTCCATATTTATTCATTTATTTGTTATTGTAAATCTTAAGACAACGTGTGTTTTTCCTTGTGTTCGTGTGTCCGTCCTTCTCGCTTCCCTAACAAAGAAGATGCGCGCGATGTCTTCCCGGGCTTTTATGAGACGATTCCTGGAATTTAAAGATAGTGGTTGATTCTTACCATAGAAAAACGGTCACCTCTCTCCCTCTTTCTCTCTCTCTCTCTCTCTCTCTCTCTCTCTCTCTCTCCAGATAGATAGATAGATAGATAGATATGGACAGACTAGAAGAAAATCTGATAAAATGGGGAAAGCTGCCGTATCAGGCGCTTAGGACCTTATCGGACTAAGGAACAAAGAGCGTGAATGGAGAGTTTTTTTTCCCACTTTGTCATAGTTTTTCCTAATAGTGTTCTTGCTATATAAAAATTTATGTATCCCCCCCAATATATATGCAATTTATATATATATTATTTATATATTATTTATATGCGCGGTACTTATTGGAAAGCGCTCAATGTCATTGATAGAGCTAACACACACACACACACACACACACACACACACACACACACACATATATATATATATATATATATATATATATATATATATAATATTTACATTAGTCGGACTATTGTCCTCATCTTTGTCGCCATATTTGTCACAACGTTTCGGCCGTTGTACGCTCCGGCCTTCTTCAAGTGGTTGGAATTTCGAACTGAACCCTTTATTTCGATCACTGGGGTAGACTGAAGGTGAGTTCAATACCTGGTTAAGGCAGTGGAGAACTTTCAGAGGGAAAATTATCAGGAGATAACTGATAACTGACATCCATCAAACATGGCACGTGGAACTAGAACAGTCTACCCCAGTGATCGAAATAAAGGGTTCAGTTCGAAATTCCAACCACTTGAAGAAGGCCGGAGCGTACAACGGCCGAAATGTTGTGACAAATATGGCGACAAAGATGAGGACAATAGTCCGACTAATGTAAATACTGTACAGAATACCTCATCTCAGAAATATAGACATATATATATATATATATATATATATATATATATATATATATATATACAAGTATAGGATTGGTGTATACGGAATAAATTCCAATAACCAACAAATACTATTCTTAAAAGAGTACTCCATACAGTGTAGAGCATATATAATCATTAATTCGAAAATTATAACATAAAAATCATTTTGTTTCAACACTTCTGGTGTCTGAACCTTTCAACACCATCATGTGTGTGTGTGTGTGTGTGTGTGTGTGTGTGTGTGTGTGTGTGTGCAGAGCTTAAATTACAATTATTTTTTTAAAAAATATGATTCCTTCGCTATATAAGAGTTCTCATGTTTCAAAAACGACAGCCGAAAACCTCAATATAATTATTAAAATTAAATTGAATTAAAGTATCAAGCCCTGTTTCATCCTCAAGCGAAAATTTAGGAATAACCAATCTTGAAATTTACGCATCTTTATAAGCATGTTCATTCGCAAAATTAATTACTATGGATACGGCTGGGGCGACCATTTTGATAAGGGGCCTAAAAGTTAATCTGTATCCACATATCAGTCACCTTCGGAAAGAGGTCAAGTTGAGGTATGGTTAGGTGTCCATTTCAAAGCGAATGATGGCATTCATGTACGCACATCGTCGGGTCAGTTACCGCGAAAGATAGCTTTTGGCACCATGTCGTTAAGTGTCTAGAGAATTTTGCTTTATTTTATTTTTATTTTTCTAAGGAGCTGTTGCGTACGTAAACGTGTCACACTGAACTACAATTCGTTTTTTTTGACGACTTCATAAAGGGTTCTTCTATCTTATGATTTAGTCAAGCTTTTAAACCTTTTATTAGACTATGAAATTTAATTTTTTTATGCTAATTATTTAATGCGAAAATTTGTTGATGTCGGCAGAAAACCGTTAACTCATGTCTATGGTTTAATTTTCATTATTTAGAAACTTAATAATGTGTAGTTTTTCATGTAGGCATAAAAGGGCATGGGTCTACCCAGGTTTTACAAGTTTTTGTTCTATTTATTATTTTCCATTTTACTTTTGGTGTTTTATTCATTTCTTTTAAATGCCAAAAATATTTGGATAGAGATGTCTGATTTCTATTTCTAATGTTATTGAAGGAGCTTTTGTGTTGTCTCCATCTAATTTTAAATTCATTCTTCGTTGAACCAATGTATATCCTATCAGTGTTAGGACTCTCAATGGATGAGATAGTGCATTGGTCTACCACAGATTTTGTGCGGCATTTATTTTCCAACAGGCAGTTTTCAGGGTTTCTACAATCACATAATTTTTCATTATTTTTGTCTAATTTTAGTTTAGAATTTTTATTAATACTGTTTTGGCATGCGTGTTTTTCCAGGATTTTATTATGTTTTTTTATTATTCTCTCTAGATTTTCAGTGCAACTGTAACTTAATTTTAAGGTATTTTTATTAAAGATCTTGCAAAGTCTGCTATTAGTAGGAAAGTGTTTTTCAATTAAAGATAGGAACTTATGTCCTAGCTTAATACTAACCATTTGGTTGAACGGAGGGGTATACCAAATGATTTTTCTTTTCCTGTTTTTCTTCTGGTTAATACTATTGTTTTTATAACTTATGTTAGCGTTTTTGTATCCGCTATTTTTTAGGAATGGGTTATAAAAATTACTGTGTTAGTGGAATATTTTCTTATTAGCGGAGTTCATGCTGATTCTTTTCTCTATTGATGTGGGTATATGCTTAATTATAGATGGAAGGTGGTTTGACTTACATACAAGGAATTGGTGTTAGGTTTTCTGTAAGGTAGGTATATGTTATTCATTAATTCTATAGTTACGTCGAGGAAGTTTATCCTTTTTAATTTAGTATTGACTGTAGTTTTTAAGTTTAGTTTTCTGAATTCACTGTATATTATCTTTCTAATTTTATCTATTTTAAAATTTGTGGAGCTCCTCACTACCATGAGCCCGTCATACCTGTATAGTCCGATGTCCTTAATGTCTAATTCACGGTGCACGGTTATATTGTATAGTATAAGTAGACCGACAAGATCAGAAGACTCTGCAGAGTCTAAAGATCCAATGGTGATGCCAAAATTGTCATTAGTGTTTTTAATCCATTGGTCCCCATTATGGATGAGGACAGATTTTTTTTTTTTTTTTTTTTTTTTGCACTAAGAATTAGGTTCATTTCTTCCTAAGTTAAGTCAGAATATACAGTAGCAAACTCCAAGGCAGTCGTGAATAGATCTCTTGATATTGACTGGTAATAATACACAATATCAAACTGTTAGTGTGCAATCAGGTTTATTGTCGATGTTGGTAAACCAATTGATGACTTCTTTGGTATTAATCCAGAGTGTTAATCCAAGGCATTTTTTGATTTGCCTAGTGATCCTTTATAGGATTCTTTTGCTAATCTTTCCTATGCCGGGTCAGATTGGCTTTATCATTCTGGTAATGAGGTCTTCCTCAAAATCTTCTTTGTGGTCCTTAAGAGTGATGTAGCGTTCCTTTTCAGCTAGTTTGTCTACCCTATCGCTTATTTTTAATTTTTCAGTAATAATTTTACAAGTTCTGTTGATACTGTCTACCATATTAATATTGTTATTATGAGCTTTTTGTATAAGTTTTAGTTAATTTTTTTTTAATTATTTTTTTGTAGTCGTCTGCCGTCAATTTGTAGAAATTTCCCGTTTTGTCGGACTTAACTAGTATTTTATAGCTGTCGCTGATGCTTTTAACTATTTCGTCTAGATGTTTTCGGAAGTTGCTTTCCTTTTTTTGTTATTGACTATATTAAGTAGGTCGTTTTCAAATTCCTGCAGTTTTTTTTTTTTTTTTTTTTTTTGTTAAATGGTGCAACTTTTTTACTTTTAAAGCCGTAAACCTCATTTTTTTTTTTTTTTGTTAAGTTATTACCTCGTAGGAAGAAGAATGCTTTCCATCTCATTCTTCTTATTAATTCCTCTGTTTTTTGGGGTTTTTTTTGCAAAAGTTTAACAAAATAATTCCGTTTGCTTGTATGTGGAATGTTCTTCAGAGAAATGCCGAAATTTACTTTTTCCTTATTTTTAAAGTTCTTATTTTAAAAATAAAGGTTCAGAGTGCTCGACCTTAATTTGGGAGCCGATATATATATATATATATATGTGCAGATATGTAGAAGAATAGGAAAGAACACGTTAGGTAAATAATCCGAATTTTGCGAATGAACATGCTTATAAAGATGCGTAAATTTCAAGATTGGTTATTCCTAAATTTTCGCTTGAGGATGAAACAGGGCTTGATACTTTAATTCAATTTAATTTTAATAATTATATTGAGATTTTTGGCTCTCGTTTTTGAAACATGAGAACACTTATGTAGCAGAAGGAATCACATTTAAAAAAAATAATTATAATATATATATATATATATATATATATATATATATATATATATATATATATATATATTGAAGTTATCACCTAGAGGCTTCTTGGTGCCAGATATGAGGGGTGATGTGGTCGCAGAAATTGTCTGACAGCCATGATTGGGTTCTCATGTTTGTATAGAATCGTGCAGAGTATTGTTGCCAGACATAGGGTCTTCCAGCAGCCACCCTCTTGATTCAGGGCAGCACTACATTTCATGTAGGCCTCCGTGTTAAATCTGTGCCCCTCGCCAACAAATTCGCGAGTTCACTATCTTATCAGAACGATCAGAGTAATATCGATGTCGGATTAAAAAAATCCATTAATTCTTTATAAATTACTTTGTTTACGCTTCGCATGCGAAACTCAGCAGATATCAGCCTTTGATAAAAATCAGAAGGTGGGACTGTGCATTACTGGGATCTGATGCTCCCTTTGGCTGAGCGGTCTAAAGCACTCTGGATCAAAAGGCGGTTTCGCCTACAACGGGGGACGCATGGTTTGAAACAAGCCGGAAAGCACGTTGTCTTTATTAAGTTTTCTTGATTGAGCAGGCCGATATAAGTAGTAAACATTAAATAATTAAACATTAGGGTGTCTATTTCAAACACGGTTATCCATTAAAAATAACGTTTTAAGAACTTTATGGTTAGAACTGTGTAGCGAAAAAAAACATATTTTAAATCAATTAATTTATATATATATATATATATATATATATATATATATATATATATATGTCTATATTTCTGAGATGAGGTATTATGTACACTATTTACATTATTCTGACTATTGTCTTCATCTTTGTCGCCATATTTATTACAACGTTTTGCCCGCTATACGCTCAGGCCTTCTTCAGGTGGTTGGAATGTTGAACTGAACCCTTTATTTCGCTCAGTGGGGTAGCCTGTTCTAGTTCCACGTGCCATGTCTACTGGATGTCAATTATCAGTTTTCTTCTGTTAATTACCCTCTCCAAGTTCTCCAGCGCCTTAACCAGGTATTGAACTCACACTCTTTGTGTTCAGTACCTGGTTTGAGTTCAATACCTGCTTAACTGACATCCATTAGACATGGCATGTGGAACTAGAACAGTCTATCACAGTGAGCGAAATAAAATTCGACATTCATACCACCTGAAGAAGGACGGAGCGTACAAGAGCCGAAAAGTTGTAATAAATATGGCGACAAAGATGATAATAATAGTCCGAATATATATATATATATATATATATATATATATATATATATATATATATATATAAGATAAAATAATAAGCATATATATATATATATAAGATAAAATAATAAGCAACCAATTTCAAATCAAAACATACAACCATGATGACGTTTGACGATAACGAAAAGCGCTCAGCAAAACACAATGGACTAGGGTGTTATTTCAACAACTTAGACCCAAATATAAAAAAAAATTACGAGAAAAAAAAAAACAGAAGGAAAGATTATTAAACGGAAAAGTTCCATAGTCTTTAGCAACATATAACATATATATATATATATATATATATATATATATATATATATATATATATTGTATCAAAAATACTTTTTGCAAATTTTGGAGGCTGGTTCCTGACACCAAAACAAAGTAAAATGTCCATATAAACATTTCTCCAAAAGGCCATTGTTGTATCTCAACATAGCAACAAATGTTCAAAATGTCCTCAACTTGATTCTACACACGCATGCATCCGTCGGATCATTGACTGGTAGACTCTTTCATATAGTCCGACACGATATCGAATGGTTTCGCAGGCCCGCATGGTACATGCATTATTAATGTCTACTGCATAAACGAATTGTTTTTAGGTGGCCTCACAGATAAAAATCCAAAGGATTGAAGTCGTTGGAACGTGCAGGCCATGGAGCCGGTCCTCCTCGACTTATCCATCGTTCATGATAGATGTCAGCCAGTGTGATTAAAAGTGCTGAAGCCCCATCATGCATGAACCATATCCATCTTCGTAGTAGCAGGAATACATCCTCTAGCAGATTTGGAAGTGAGTTCGAAAGAAATACAACACCTGTAAGACGTGCTTGGAGAACATATGAACCTACTACGCATGTGTAAATTTGTTGTCCCATCTTTCCCAATTGTTGCCTCATCCGTAAACAAAACTGAAGAGACAAACAACGGATCGGCAGTTTGGTCAATAAGCCATCGGCAAAAGTTTCCCCGTAGTAAGTGATCAGAGAGTGAAAGACCCGGCACACGTTGCAAATAATACCGATACAGGGCCTGTTCTTAAAATACCCTCTATGCGGCACTATGTGTTGTACGACATGCTAAGGCCACTTGACGTATGCTGATGCCTAGATCGTCTCTGGCAGCCCGTAAAATGTATTCTTCGGTCTTCCTTGTTACATGGTTTGTGGTGCCACAAATCCTATCTCAGCAACGCGATGATAAACAGCAGCAAAAGTTGGACGACTCGGCTGCCTTCGGTTTGGAAACGCAATCTGATACAGCCGTGTGGCCTCGCATTACCATTCGCGCGCTCGTATGTAAAAATCATAACTGTCTGCTCCCGTTATGAATATCCTGGCATTGTTAAATGGAACACTTCTCAGTTAACTCACTATGACACACTGAAGACAGACTAACCACAAATATACACCAATGACAATTGTAAACTCGTCTACATAGCAACACAGCGCCATCTTCCGTAAATTTTCTTTAAACTTAACTCAAAAACAAAGGATTTGTGGTCATATGTTTATATGCATTTTTGTCCTTACTTTGGTATGAGGAACACACACACACACACACACACTCACACACACACACACACACACACACACATATATATATGTATATTATAAATTAATTGATTTAAAATGTTTTTTTTCGCTACACAGTTCTAACCATGTTTCAAAAATGGAAGCTAAAAGCTTCGAATTTAATTTTGTAATTAAATTAAAGACATTAGTTCTGTTTCATTCTCAAGCGAATTTTGGAGTAACTTATTACTGGGTTTTAAAAGCACAGAAAAATATTAATTCACATTTCCAAGGATACAGAAAAACCCATTCAACCAGACAAGGGGTGTCTAATTCATTATGTCTGTATTTTGATGTATCAGTTATTAGTTACGTTTTGGT